TTACAAAGCTGTCTGAAGGCTGTGATCATTCTTAGGCAAACATGTTAAGCCTTAGGAAACTAGCTAGATGGCACCTAGGCACTGAATAATTCATTTTTATTATTGTGCACATGGGTAGGATTGTTTCTGAACCAAGGAAGAGTAGGAATCACTATTCAGACTAGGCCATATATTTTACTTACAGTGGATGCATCTAGTCGTGTGTTAATGCACTTTTCCTAATGCACATTAAATTTAGTACCTCTAATGTGAGGTACTAAATGATCATTAGGCTGCCCTAATGCGCAGTAGCACAAGCACATGCTTTTTAGGTGAGTCTTAACACACAGTAGCCTATTTTACTGTGCATTCGTGTAATAGCACGGTTTTTATATGCTGCTTTAATGCATAGTAAAATAGGCTATTGCGCATTAAAGTGCATATGTAGATACACCCAGTGAGTCCTTTCTATCCTTCACCTGCTGTCAGTTCTCCAATCCTGCCTTACAACAAAGAGGTGAGAGAGTACAGTAGTATATAACAATAGAGGAGGTCAAAGTGGAAAGCTGGGAGTGATCCTGTTTTGTGGTAAATGCAGATAAATAATTGGGAGTGTAGGGTTTTCTGTTGCTCAAAGAGGGACTATTGTAGAGATGGTAGAAGGACTATAGGGTATGTCATTTTGGTTCGGGTATGGAAGAAAAATGCATAGGGGGAGTGGACTTTTGACTGGGTGTGGATGCTTAGTCAGGCAATATACAGAAGTAATACACAATATTTGTCCTCAGCACCTTAGTGCTGAGACTGAACATACTGACTATCAGTAAATTAAAGCTTAGTGCTTTTTTGTATAAGAGATCTTTTCTGTTTTGTAAACTAGAAAATCTTTTTATATATATAAAATGCCTTGATAATACCAGAGCAGATAAGTTGCTTTGAGTAGATGTTATATCTTTTATTAGACCAACTAAGTAGTTGGGGGAAAAGTTCTTGACAAGCTTTTGGGCACTGTCACCCTTCTTCATGCATAAGGAGTCTCTGCCTGAAGAAGGGTGACTGTGCCCAAAAGCTTGCCACGAGCTTTATTCCAACTACTCAATTAGTTATAAAATATATCACATCTATTCAAAGAACCTTGTCTGCCTATGTCCTTAGACCAATACCGCTACAATCACAAACCCAGCAACCTTGATAATACCAATGCCTTTGTACTGTTATCAGGTTTTATGTAGGATGCAAAAAGATATTCTTTGCACCTGAAGCATGTACTAATGTACCACTGAAATAATCTCTGTCATGTCCTAGTGCTGAGTTCAGATACTTGATACTTACTAAAACTGGCCAATATATCTTCCTCCTGTTAGGCAGTCTGGCTTACCACTTTTTGAGCTCCTTATAAAAATGCCATCCCGAGGCCAGATGTTTACAGTGATGTATGGCCTTGCTTTGAAAATATTAGGTTAGAGGTAACACTCCTAGGAATGATCTGAAGAATGTGTCAGGGTCCATCCATCAGAAACAGAACCCTCCAACATACTCAGGACTCTATGCTTGCCTGTATTATTCGAAACTGCTTTGTATGTCCCTGGAGGTTTCCTTCTGCTTTTTGTTCTTATCATCATCAATATTTAAAGAATTTTTGGCAAACTAAATCATCTGAATTCAATTCTGTCAGCTTCAGAAACTGAAACTCTATATTTATCCACAAGGGAGGTTTCACACACAGGCAGCCAGTAAACTTCTTCAGAATGCCTTTCCAATGTACTTCCATTTTGATATGAACAAAGCAACTTTAAGACTGAAAGGATCATAAGATTAGACTTTGCCTTTCTGCTAGAAGTGCCAATAAAAATGTCAGTTGTGCTAGTGATTTTTATCATGTGCATAACTCAACTGGGAACTAAACTGAGCTTATAAATGGTTTTATCTAGGAAAGATATCACACACTAATCTAGACCTGTTGTGTGAAAGACTGGTGGTGGCTCCTTTATACTATTGCTGTCCCAAGTGCATCTCCACCACTGATGAGTAGGGCTGCGTGAAGCTTTGGTCCCTGATTTGATTTGGAGGAGATTCAGCCCGATTCGGTGGCCGAATCTCCAAATCTGAATCGAATCGGAGGGACCCTTTAATCTCTCCGAATTAAATTGGAACCTCCTGAATCTATTCAGAGAGATTCAGAAAGATTTGGTGATTCAGACAGACACAGCTTTAAATGTTTTTTTTTACATACCTCTAGGTACCAGGCAGCTTGTGAGTGCCGCGATGCTGGGACACATGGAGCATCCCACAGCAGCATGGGGACTCCCCAGCGTGCTTGGCAGCAGAACTGGAAGTGGACCAGAAGCACTTCCGGTCCACTTCCGGGTCTGCTGGGGAGTGTGTGCGCTTCCAGTCCACTTCTGAGTTCGCTGCCTGTGGGATGCTCCATCCACCCCGGCATTGCTGTGCTCACAAGCCGTGCTGGTACCTTGAGTAATGTAGGAAAAACATTTAAAGCTGTCTGTGTCTGAATCGCTGATTCTCTGAATCAGCATCGAATCTTCAGATCTGGATTCAGCCAATTCAAATCAGGGACAGCGATCTGAATCAACTAATCGAATCACTGTCCCTGATTTGGGCTGAATCTGAATCAAATAGGGCCTGCTTCGCACACACCTACTAATGAGATAGCACTGGGATATTTTAAGATAAAGCTAACAGCAGACATTCATTAGTCTGGTCATGTAAATTCTGACTCACCCACTTAGTTGTGTAAGTTGTTCAATTGAAGTCATAGTGTTATGTCCTCCTATAAATAACAGCCTTCAAGTGCTAACACTGTTTGTTACTAACCTGAGCTATATTTGAATCAGTGACCTAGATTAGAAAAAAGATATGTAGTGTATTACCAATCCTCTGAGCCAGCCAGTCACCCAAACCAGAGGAGCTTGTAAGAAGTCAGCATTTATTACTTACTTTAATCATGCCAGACAGATGCTACATGAGTGTGAGAGTAAAACAAGTCATAGCAATATTATAGATAAATATGTTCTCAGTATTACATTTTATGACAAAAGGTGGTGTTCTATAGGAACCATAAAGTATACTTGAAAGATCAGTCGCATGAAAAGCAACTCAGCACATACTCTCACATCATAAGATTTAAGTACAACCATTTCTATTAATTTATTAGGATTTGTTAACTGAGCACTTTATAAATCATAGTACTAGTTGACAGGGTGAGGACACACAATATATATTAATTTTTTTAAAATTATAGAATGGGTTCCTATTTTTGGTTAATGTCTCATGACAGGAAATGAAATTTCCCCCTCACAAGCTAATCAATGCTCTCTTGTTTCCCAATGTATTGAGAAAACCTTGGCGGGGGTGGAGGGAATACAAATGAAATAGTCTAAGAGGGAACAATTATTTAACATATACAGAACAGAGCACATCTATTCCTCCATTGAAATACTGGCCCAATGGCATTTAATGAAATACTGGCATTTAATATGGTCCAATAAACAACACATTCCTAGAGAAATTACTCTTAAAGTGTTGGAAACTGTCTAAGAATTGAAGGGATTTGGTTTTTTGTGGTTTTTCTAAATTTTTATGTCAGACTTTCCAGATGAAAGTAATTATCTCCCTTTAGAGAAATGGCACCTCATTCATTTGGTTAGCTGAGATCCTCATTTCCTCCAGGATGTCCCACCCTGCAGCCTGCACTTTGCCTATCCTCTTTGCTCTGTGTGTTCTAGGATGAAGATTTCCAAGACATTGTCAGTGAAGAATAAAGGATAAATTAGGCTAGATAACTTATGTGTCCTTATTTGAAATCTCTGGATGCAGTCTAGAAGTACACATTAAGTTAAAACAAGAATACCTTTACCCAGAAAAAAAAATTACAATACAAATCTAAATTTATGGACATGGAAGTTAAATGAGTGTTCCAAATCTAGACAGTTTTCCTGAGATGTCTAGTCCAGTTTCATCCTTCCCTGTTAACAGAAAAATGTTATCCATGTGAGAATCTACATCCAGTCATAGAAATGCCATGACTTCAGGAGAAAAATCAGTACATACCCTAGAATAGCAAGAATAAAGACTTGTTCTGATTAGTGACTTACAAGGATCCTGGTTTTCTCTGATTAAAAAAATATCCCCAGTTTTTGGTTAAAAAAACCCAACCCCAAATCCACATTTTTCCATGATTAAAATGAAACACCACCATATATAGATAGATGTATTATATCTATATATGAGTGGTATTTCATTTGGGGTTACTTTTTTAACCAAAAATTGGGGATTTTTTTAAATCAGAGAAAACCAGGGTCCCTGGTGATTTATGAAGAAAGGCAGAAAGAGCATGGGTTATTCAGCCTAGAGAAGAGAAGTTGCAGGGGATTTGATAACAGTCTTCAAATCCCTGAAGGAAGTAGAGAGAAGATAGGTGACAGGTCTAGGAGCAATGGACTCAAGCTTGCAGCAGAAGAAATTTTAAATTGGAGATTAGGAAAAACTATGAGGGTGGTCAAGCACTGGAATAAGTTACCTAGAGAAGTTGTGGAATCTCCTTCCCTGGAAATTTTCAAGAGCAGTTTAGACAGATGCTTGGCTGAGATGGTTTAGTCAGGGATGATCCTACTTTGAGCAGTGGCTGGACTGGTGACCTCATGTGGTCCCTTTCAGCCCTACTTTCCTATGATCCTATTGTTATACTTTTATGCTACTATTAAATACTGTATTTAACTCCTTGCTAGAACAGTGATTTCTAAATGCCTATTCTTGAATATTTCTTTAATTTTTTATCTAGTTTTGGTTATATGTATTGCTTTCCTACCCGCTATCCAGTATTTGACAAAACAGGGCAAAAACCCTTCAAATCTGGCATTTTTCTGTTTCTAATTAACAAAATTAGCACAAGAAATGTTGCAGTATGTTGCCTTTTATATTAAGAGCTTTGCTTGGAACAGACATTCATACATAAAAAGCATTTTATTTGAGTATAGTAATGGTATTCAAATCTTTTATAGGGAGGTATCTCCAGCTGATACTGAAAGAAGAAGCACAACTGAGAGAACTACAAGGTAGGACCAACATACCCTGAATTGAAAATTTAAATGAATAATTTGTATAAACTGTTAATCCTGGGTACAGTTTTAAAAACTGCCCAAGTTACTCAGGGACCTAAATCTCACTAAAATTCATGGTCTTAAGCTGTTTTAAAACTACAACTCATTGTGCCTGGTGGCAGCCTCTTAAAACATGCCACATAGCTCTGATTGGGTTATTACTTGTACTGGAAACAGTATTGTTTGCATCGTCACTCCTCTGATGGTGGGCTAATTAGCCCTGCTAAGTAACATCCCATCCCCAGTGCCTCACAAGTATGTCTAGACTGCATCTGGTCTGGAAATGTATGCTGAGCTGTGTGGGATATTTGAGGGTGTTTCTATCAACCACAGTCAGTTTACTATATAGATATGCACTAGATTCCTAAGTACTTATATTGTACAGGCAGAATTAGGATAGATTTTTTGGTAGAACTCGTTGAAGAACTTTCAACATAACTTTTTTTCCATCAGAGAATGAAATCAAAGTAATTTATAGGAACATCTTGCCTTTCAAATTTTTGGTAGGAAAAAGTCAAAATATGTAATTTTGTTTTGACAGTATTGAAATTTAATTTCAAAAGGTAAATACTGTTTTTTTAGATTTCTCATTTCAATTCATATTCTTTCTCTCGCTGTGTGTACATATACATATTTAATGTTATTGCATTATTATGCAAAAATCCCATTATCAAATCAGTTCTAGCTTTGGGAAAATAAAAACAGTCAGAATTCAGACAATAGAGATCCTTGTAAAGAAGCAAGAGTCCAGAAACTCCAGAATGAATTAACCTAGTTCATTGCTAGTATTCACCAGTTCATAGCTGTGATACCTAAACACCACCAGAATGAAAATTAAAACTGAGCTATGTTGGTCCAGAGCTGTACCTGGTCTACCATAGAAACTGTTGGGAATCTTCAGATGAGTAAGCTAGAAAAAGCTATGTTTCCTCAGCTGGGAGGCAGTCTTGCATGCATCATAGAAATATTTGGCTGATTTTGATTTCAAGCACTATTTAAATCTTATTGTATGTTAAAGGCTTGCGTGTTTTAAAGTTCTTGACTAAGAGTGCTCAGAAGGTGCATTCCCTTTTGACTTGGTGTTAAGTATGATTGTTTTTTCTTAAAACATAATCAGGTGTTTCATATTTTTGCTGCTCACATTTTATTTTATAAATTGTTTTGACTTAGTATATAAAATTAATGAATGTTATTGAATAATAATAGGCTTTGAACTTCTCCATCAATATCACACTGTTCTCTTCTGAGGAATGTGTCAATTACCTCTTCTTTTATTTCAAGCAAACACTTCATTTTAGCTAATTGGTAGTTGGATTTATTGACTGTGACTGGCCCTGGTTTTGTTTTATCTTTAAAGAAGCCAAAGTCATGATAATCTCATCACAGCAAATCCCATTTCTATCACAAGCGACAAGGAGCAAGTCTTACAAGCCTCTCAATCTTAGGCTCTCAGTTATATGGCCCCCACTAAAACTGCCACAGAAAACTAAGGTATTTTGTAGGGGGATTAAATAAAGTTTTGAAGTACTTGTATATTATTATAGTTGTGCCAGCTGAAGACAGCAGGGCATTTTAACCAGTTATCAAAGTGCTCTGATTCATAAAGCTTTTGATTTGTGTGTGAGCCGTGCATACAGTGAAATGAATTTGCTTGTAGTCCATAAATGTTTCTACAGACTGAGCTAATGGAAGCTACTGAACTATTGCCTTAACAGGAGCTATGCAATTACTTCTGCACTTACAGCCACATGCAGTAAAGGCTCCTGAATATGGTACTATTCGTTCGTGCATTAAATGTATTGTCTGGATATAACCCCATTGTTTGAGAGAGAGGGAGAGACAGAAATGTACAGTTAACACCATTCTAAGGCTATGTGTAGACCCCTGAGTACCGGTGCTGCTCTTAAAAATCCACATTTTAATTTAAAGGGGCGTGTTTTGGATCAGAATACATGAGGCACTGAGGTGCAACAAAGCAGGAAGCACCTAAGATTTTGTGAAATTAGTCATATGCAGAGCAGACTCAATTAATAATTAAGTTCCAAGTTTTCTTGTTGGATTGATTGTGTATGTAGTCGACAAATCAGACAAGCGAAATCCTTATGATCGATACTAAGAACTCCTTGGCCACAAGGAACAACTTTTATCAAATGAATTAAACAAGTTTATACTCAGAGATAATTGGCTAGCTAGCTACTTTTTTTGTTTATACCTTCCACCTGAAAACTAAAAAAGGTCTATTCTTTTGTGACATGGGTTACAGATGATTGCTTTTATATGTTGCTCCATTCTCCAGTTCACTGGATAAAGGAACATTAATTGAAAATCAACACAAAAGGTCTGCATTAAAATTAAGCTACTTAGAATTTTTCTATATAGAAAGTTATATATTATGGTTTGTTTTTCCTGTAATATCTTAACCAATAGGGTATGAAAATTCTGTACTACCCCAACATAAAGTATGAACAGTAGTACAGAATCAAATCTACCATAAATTATTACTATAATAGTTTAATCGTATAAATGTAAATAAATCAATTCTTCCCATGTTACTTTTTTACTAAAAGCAGTGAGATTAAAGAAAGCCTCATTTGTCACAGGACTGTAGAGCGAAATCAAGCTAAATAATAAAATATATTTTTATAAAGTAATTGTCCTAAAGGAATTAGTTTTAATGTTCACAAATATTTCTTTGTAAGCTAATGCTGGAAAGATGCTAATGCTAACACAATGGAAGCTTATTCCTCCTTTTCTTGTCATATATAATGTATAGGAAAGATCTTATCTCATGCAGTGGTATGAATATATTTAGGTCTAGAAAATGGAACTTTATGTTGGAAGTAATAAATTAATTCTTACATAATTTTTCTCTCGTAATGGAGAATGTTAAACATATTTTCTTGTTAATATCACCAACAGTTTAGCATAATTATATGTGAACTGTTAACTTGAGCTGTCCACTATTCACTTCTTGGAGAATGCATGTTTGCCTGGGTTTCTTCAATTTTTACAGTTCTACTTTTATCCAATTTTATAAGCAGCAGAATATTTTAACACCATTCTATTTTTATGGTATTTTTTTTACAGAGGAAAAGACCTTGATGATCTCAATGCAGTAAACAGTGCTGCACAGAAAGATAAGAGGCAAGTTGAGATATCTCTGTCACATATTTTTAAATGGTTTGCAGTTGGGGAGCTACTTTCAGGATGAGTTTTGTTTTGGTGACAGTTAATTTCAATAAATGTAGCCATTTGGGTTCAAAGATGACAACCATGAATTGGCTTGATTTAAGCTATTAAAGGAAGACTCATCCTTATACATTTTTAACTCTGCAGTAAATACTAGATAATAAATATGAATAGTTCAGTAGAGAAGGGAATGTACAGCAGTTGTACAGATGTTTTCTATTAAACCCAATCAGTACAGCCACCATCAAATGGCAGTTAAAGACACCATTCTCACTGTAACAGGGTGGCCTCCTCATCAGGTCTTTGCCAGCCACCCTGCTCTTGGGGTAACCACCTGCTTCGCTTTCCTGCCACACCTTGATGGAAAAATAAGGGAGTTGTCACTAAAGTGGGAGGCTACCCATTACTCGCCTTGCTGACAAGGACCTAGTACCTGCTCCGACCTCTCCTCCATGGGTTCCATGCCTTGCTGATGTTACTCTGGCGTTCCTTCTCTGGCCTATGGCCGGAGCAAACCGGGCACACATTTGTAGCTCTTTTCTACAGCCCTGGAGGGCCACTCACATGCTACCCCTCTCTCACAGGCGTCCCACTCACTCTGCTGGCTCTCACCCAGCCTCTTTCATTCTGCCCATTCTCAGGGGCCACACTCATGCCGCCCAGCCTCACCTGGCCTTGGGCTTAGCTCTCCTCACCTCAGTCAGCCCTGGTGCAGCCTGTTGGGTATCTCTCACTACCCTCACCTGAGCATTGACTGAGCTATTGTACGACTGTAGGCTTATTTTGCTCCTAGCCCCTCACTGGACTACTATGCCCCCACTGGGCCTCCTCACTTGCCCACACTCATTGGCTGCTCTGTTCATTGCCCCTCTCACACAGAGTCCCTCTACTCGTCACCCCTCTCAGACAGGGTCTGACTCGCGCCCCCCAGGCTTAACCCTACTGCCTGGGCACAGTCCCAGGTCACTCCTCCTGCCTGAACTCTGACTCAAGGCTTCTTAACTGAGCCCTGGGCTCCCCCTGCTCACTAGAACACCACCAGGGATGTGGGGATGGGGTTATTAAGGCTCCCTGACCCACCTTTCACTGGGGAGGTAACTGACCTGGCATTTCCTGGGGGCTCCCACACCACTAGGAGCCCCACCAGACCAGCCTTCCCTGGCAAGGTGCAGTTTTACATCTTACCCAGGACAAGGGGTCACCTCCTACCCATAGCCCCTGCCCTTACATCCTTACTCTGGCCAGAGCAGCCTCTCAACCTGATGTTTCCTCCTTCCTTCCTGCAGCAAACTGTAGCCCAGCTTATATCCCTGGGCCAAAATGGCTGCCCTCATTAGGCATCTGCTGCCTGTTTGCTGCTCTTCAAGTGGCAGGCACCAAAGGTACCCTGCCACACCCGTGTAACTTTCAACTTCTTCCTCTGTTCTGTGCTGCATCCATTCTAGTAAATCTTTATCATAGCCCTTAAAATCCTGTGTTGCACATCTAAAAGACATTGAATATTTACATCTTCTTGTTCAATGGACACACTTGGGTTTGCAGTTAACCTAACACACTTGGGTTTGCATGTCTAAAATCTGAGTTCTAGCAAGATGAAACCTTTCATAGGATTAGTTTGCTCAATGCTTCCACAACTCAAAACTGAAGTCCTGAGGTATTTGTTAGTAATAGTTTATAAGCTTCACACTTTAGCATGAAATACTGTACATTGAGGATGGATGTCCAGTTCAGACAAATCTTGGCAGATTGGAAAGTTGGGCTAGAGCTAACTGGATGAAGTCCAATTGGACAAATGCAAGGTGCTACATCTCAGGAGGAGTAATCAAAAACACAAATGTAAAATGGGTGATGCCTGGCTGGATGGCAGAACTATGGAAACAGACTTGGGAGTCCTGGCAGATCCCTGACTCTGTACAAGTCTGCACTGTGGTGCAGCTGCACAAAAGGTGAATGCAGTTTTGGGATGCATCAATAGAAACATTAGGTGCTAGACATGGGAGGTGATAGTGCCTCTACTCAGCACATATTAGGCCTCATCTGGAGTATTGTGTGAAGTTCTGGGCTCCACATTTTAAAAAGGAAGTGAAGAAGTTAGAGAGAGTCCAGAGGTGGGCAACAAAGATGATCAAGTGCTTGGAAGGCAAGTCATATGAAGAGAGGCTGAAGGAGCTAGGCCTGTTCAGTTTATGGAAAAGGCACTTAAGAGGGGACATGATAGCAGTCCTCAAATACTTGAAAGGCTACCATAAAGAAGAGGGAAAGCACCTTTTCTCTCTTGCTGCAGAGAGGAGGATGTGGACCAATAGCTTGAAGTTGCAGCAAAGTTTACATAGGATATCTGGAAAAACTTCTTCACTGTTAAAATGGTGAGGCAGTGGAATAGACTGCCTAGGAAAGTTGTGGATTCTCCATGACTGGAGGTGTTCAAGAAGAGGTTGTACAGCCACGGGTTGGGGATGATCTAGGAATAGGTATGTTTATGTTTACCATGGGTATTCCCCATGCTTCTGGGCTTTGCTGGTTGTCCCCACTCCTTCTCCCCTCCCCTGCAGCACTTCTGCTATATGCATCAAGATGTTTTTAAGCCTTCCCAGAGGCATTGGGGTTGTTGGCTATAGCCAAGGCCAGGGACTTTGTGGGATGTGCCAATGCTTCTGCTGGGACCAAAGCCAGAATTTTCAGGCTAGAGGGTCATGCTCCTCTGCTCAGGGTCAGACCAATCACCATATTTGGGTTCAGGAAGAAATTTTACCCCATGATCAGATTGGTATGGACTGTGGGTTTTTTTACCTTCCTCTATAGCAGGAGGTGTGGCCCTCTACCTGGGACCTCTTGAGTGTATGTTGACAACATTTTATAGAAGCAGGGCAATGGTTGCCGTGGTTCTCCCGCTTTACCTGTGGTTAGGGTGTTAGATCTATGTTGTGTCAGATTTGATGGTAGTCTTATGCAGAGTTTAGATTATGGTTTGTATGGGATGGTTTGCATAGCAATGATCCTGCCTCAGGCAGGGAAATGGACTACATAACCTCTGGAGGTCCCTTCCAGCCTTATTTCTCTATGCCTGTCTTGCTTCAAGTATCTGTTCGCACGCCACATTGGCGCGGACGCCTGGTGATGGACACAAGGAGGCTTCATGCAACCTCTGATAGGGACCCCGATCACTCTGGGGAGGACCCCAGAAGTCATCTGCCATGCCTTTGAGTGTTTCTTCAGTGGTGGGGTCTCCTGTTGGTGGTCCCTTGAGGTGGGTTGTTCCTCCTGACGGATATTCGTGGGGCTCCACCCCTTCCATTCAAGGGCCTACACCCCTTCCATATGCCAGCCTCTGCCGGGTCACCTGATCTTGATGTGGCCAGCCCTCCGGTCTCAATGACTCTTACCTGTCGCACGATCTCAGGTATCGGGTCTTGTTTTTCTTTTCTTAATAGACTCTGGGTCCGTAGGATGTTCCCCTGTCCTCCAGATCTCCCGTATTTTCTGCTGGTTGTCAGCCACTCCTCGTGAGCAGTCCTAGTTGTATGGCTGTCGCCCGGACCCCTCAACAAAGAGTCACTAGTAAATAAAATAGAATAACAAAATAAAACAGAAGGCTCCTGAGGAATAGGCACAGGGCAGAAAGAAGAAAAAAGGCAAGGATGCTAATGAAAGGAACAAGACAGGTATGAAAAAGGAAAGATGAGGCTGAACTGCCTTATTATACTGGCTCTACCCTACAGCCGGTGCCCTGCCATGTCCTTCGATGCTGCTCCGCCCTCTTCCAGTTGAGGGCTTCTCATACCTCGCTCTAGGTTAATTCTTCTCCTATAGCCCGGGCTGCAAGCGTCCAGTGTGGGGAGCGTCCACCATCCTCTGTTTCTTCCTGCTCCTCTTGGAGCAGGGTCTTTTCCCACACGCTGGTACCATCCGTGACCAGCGTGGGGCTTCTCTGTAGCCGTCGCTCTTGAGGCGTCCCTGCCCAATCAGTCTTCTCTGTCCTGCCGGCGCTAATTGCTGCCAGCGGGGAGAGCATCCGCAGCCTCCGCTGCCTCTTCCACTCTCTCTTGCTCCCAGCTGGTGCCAGCTTTTATCCTGACCGGCCGGTGCTCGTTCATGATGTCACCCACCGGCCCCAGCTATATATAAGCGTGGCTAATGAACCGCACAGTTTTTTTTTGTCAGCAGCGCTTGTCTGGTGTCTGGAGCCCTAAAGTAAGTAAGCACTCTTTACTCTCGGGGTTTACTCTCTGGGTGTGCATAGCCCCCGTGCTTGTACCCCTGGGACATTCTCTATGACTCTGATGTTAGTATTTGACCTTGCAATAATAAGCAAAAGTGCTAGAAAAATGGATTGACGGGGGAAATATATTCCTTTTTTTCTTAGTATCTCTTTCTTGATTTTCATAGATTTCATAGATTTCATAGACATAGGGCTGGAAGGGACCTCGGAAGATCATCGAGTCCAGCCCCCTGCCCAAAGGGCAGGAAGTTAGCTGGGGTCACAGGATCCCAGCAAGATAAGCATCCAGTTTGCTCTTGAAGGTGTTCAATGTAGGCGCTTGAACCACCTCCGGTGGCAGGCTGTTCCAGACCTTGGGGGCTCGGACAGTAAAGACATTCTTCCTTATGTCCAGCCTGAAATGGTATTGTAGTAGTTTATGACCATTCGACCTAGTCGTCATCCCTTGGGGTGCTCTGGTGAACAAACGTTCCCCCAGATACTGGTGGTCACCCCTGATAAACTTGTAGGTGGCCACCAGATCACCCCTGAGCCTGCGCTTTTCCAGGCTAAAGAGCCCCAGGGCTCTCAGCCTGTCATCGTAGGGTCTGCTTCCCTGACCTCTGATCATGTGCGTGGCTCTTCTCTGGACTCTCTCAAGCTTGCATTTTGTTTTCTCTTAAGTTAAAGATTGGTATGTTGCAATGCGTTTGCTTTTTGATCTTAATAGGGGATTCCATTACCAAAGGGTTGCTTTTTTTTAATTAAGGGAAAACGAGCACATAACTCAGCTCTCCCTTTCCTGGTGTGTGAAACATTACCATCCTAAAATAAACAGAAGCATTTCATCCATAATTGTAAAGGTCTGATAGAGCCAATTTGATTTTTGGTTTATTTTATTTGCATCTTATGTTCTGTTTTTGTCAGAGATAGGAATCAAATGTAGTTATATATAGATACTGTTAAACATTCTTCCAAAACCAAAGGAACTGCATCTAATAGATTTCTGTAAGGCATTTGACTTTGTACCATGTGACATTTTGATTAGGAAACTAGAACAATACAAAATCAACCTGGTGCACATTGAATTAATTGCCAATTGGCTAATTGCAAATGGGGAATCATCAAGTAGATGTGTTTTTACAGGAATTCCTCACAGGGATTATTTCTTGACCTTACACATTTACAGTCAATGGCCTGGAACAATCAATTTATCAATGGCCTGGAATAAAACATAAATCATTACTGATATGGTTTGCGGGTGACACAGATTGGGGGAAGTGTAAATACTGTAACAAAGAGGTCAGATCATCGAAACAGAGCAGCCTGGATTTTTTGGTAAGCTGGGTGCGAGCAGACACTATTAATTTCTAGATAGACAAATAGAAAGTTATTATGTAAGTAGTATTATCTCAGTATTTGGCATGGGTGTGACTGCCATTGGAATATTATATCTGGTTCCACCACCCACTGCTCAAGAATGTTTAGAGAAGAACCTCAAGAATGATTAAAGGATTAAGAAACATGCCTTTTAATAGCAGAGACTATGAGCTCAATTTATTTAGTTTATGAAAGTAATGTTAAGGGGCAACTTGATTACAGTTTGGAGGTACCTACCTGGGGGGTAGAAAATTGAAAATAAGAGCTTGTTGTCAAGCAGACAAAGGTATAAGAAACTCCTAGGCTGGAGGCTGAAACTTGACAAATTCAGACTAAAGTATAATTTTTAGCAATGAGGATAATTAACCTTTGGAACAATTTACCAACGGCTATGGTGGATTATTCATCACTACATTTTAAAATTAAGATTAAATACTTTTCTAAAAGCCCTGTTCAAATAAGCATTCAGGGAAATTTTACAGTGAATTATACAGGTCAGAGTAGATAATATACATAGGTCCTGTCTGGTTTTATAATCTATGAATCTACAGAAGTTACATTTTAATTGTGGAAACTGTTTTGGTCTTGGCAGTTACATAAGCTCATTTTAGGCTACTGATAGACATGAAAACCACAAAACAAAACATTGCTTTACTGGAAGAGAAAGTGTGTCAGTTTGACTTGGCTCTCCAGCATCTGTATAGATTGGGAGCTTCAGCAGGGTTTTTTGATGCTTTTAACTAAAGCTGATTTAACCAGCTATTAGATAAAAGTGCCAAAAAGCCCCATTGAAGCGCCAAAAAGCCCTATTGAAATGCTCAATCTATACAGACATTGAGCAAGCCAAGTCAAACTAACGGAGTACCTCTTCTGCGCATGCACTGTGCTCAGTGCAGGGGTGCACTGAGCTGAAAGTAAAGCATTGTTTTTTTCCCCACGTCTGTAAGCAGCTTAAATGAGTATACTGGAAGCAATGAATTCATGTCAGAACTACAGAATCAAGTAATAAATCCATTAGGACTCTCCCTTCTTTCCCTTAACAGCCAGTTCACTTGGGATTTTCCTTTCTAGTAACACGTCAGGGTCCCGGGGTGGCTGTGATGCCCTCTAGGGGCTCTGTGATCATGCCTCGCTCCACCCCTGGGGCACCTTCCACACCCGTCTCACCTGCTATACCTTGATGGAATAATGATAAATAGGGAGGATGCCCACAGATGTCTGTGTAGCCCTGGTTCCACTGAACCCCTGTTAGGGTCCCCAGCACCCTACTGGTCCTCACTGGTCCCCAGGCCCCTGGCTGGGCCACTACAGTTAACTGTGCCTGGCCAGGGACCCAAAGCTTTAAGGGCTAATTGTGTGGTTCCAAATCCTTCCCTTTACCATGCCCCATACTTCACAGGTGTTACAAGGATATTGTTCCCTTTGTTAGAGCTTCAGCCTCTTTGGTCTCCACTCCTCTAATCTAGCTAGACCTTTTAACCTGGGCCCACTGAATCGGACCTGGCTTTGAGGCACTAGCTCTTGTTCGTCCCTTTTGTCACCAGGCCCCTGGCCCCTGTCTGCTGGGCCCCAGCCCCCTGTGTGGCTGCGCCTTCTCCGGCACCAGGCCCCCTGGCTCCTGTCTGGTTACATCCCTCTGGGCACTGAGGCCTCCAAACCTCCCCTTACAGCCTCATCCCAAACCTCCAGTATAAACACAACAGAAACACAAGCCTCTGGGATATAACATGAATAACATTGGAAATTGCCCCCTGCCTCTTTAAGAGGGCAAACCTTCCTTCACCCTTGGGCCAGCACACCTCCCAGCCTGGCTCCTTGTGAGCTCCCCGAGCCTGAGCCTTCCTGCAAGCAGCAAAGTGGTCAGCCTAGTACCCCTGGACTCTCCTGGGCCAGAGCTCCTTTCCCTGCAGCTGCTAGGGAGAGAATCCCCTGAGGCAGCCTCAGCCTTGGGCTTATAAGCACCCAGGGCCCTGCCTACCTCTGATCAGCAGACCACTGGCAGGTGCCTGCTAATTGCTCCATTATCCTGTTGCCCCGGTGTCCTGCCTAGCCTGTAGTGCTTCCTGGCTAGGCTGCTTCCTCCCTTAAAGGAACAGAGAGCCCCAGGCTCTCTGTTATACCTTGCCAGTCAATTGTCTGGGGAAGTTTTATTTGAATAGGAAGTAGTCCTCATATTGATGTCAGGAAGGGCTAGATGGTCGTCTCTCTTATTAGCTTATTAGCTAGAATAAGTACTGTATTAATATCTTGAGTAATGTTGCATACTCATAAATAACTCTCAATGTAAGTTGTTTGGAATGTGTTTTCAGTGTATTCAGCAATCTATCTTACTTTTATAAAGCACACATTTTTCCACCCTTTTAAAAAACGTAAATCCATCCTTCTAGATCATTATAGTTAAATCAAATATTTTAACTTACAGTAAGGTATTTCTCATTTTCACAGAGGTCAAGACCTTGTTGATGTCATTGAAGTAAAGAAATCTGTGGACCAAAATAAAAAAGGGTAAGAGACAACTGATAAATATCCTTTACACTCACTGGATATTGAAAGGGCTTGTCATTACATAGTATTATGCATAGGAATATTTTCCTTAATGCAAGCAAGCAAAAGTTACAGCTTTTCAGTGAGATAGCAATCTTTACTTGTTCCATTTTGAAAATGTATACTTATATAACAGCATTCATTTCACTTATTTAAAAAAATGTCTGAACAAAGATCCTTCTCCCCTCCCCTGTCCAGCCTCTGCCCCCAGTACATGCAAACATTTTTGGACTAGAGCTATAAATATATTTAAATGCCTGAGTCTCATTGAATTCTATGGGACTTAGGCTTCTAAATATGAATTAACTGCTTAAATACCTGTAAGATCTGGGCCAAGGTGTCTCAAGAAAGTACAGGTAAGGCTTATTGATGTTCTATCATTCTTCAGTGCTTCTAGGGTTCCTTATAAAGTCTTATGGACTTTATTTGTTTCATGAAACTGAATTGTAATGATTAATTTTCATGTGGAATACTTACAGTATATTATATTTATTTTATATTTTGTATTTCTATTTAGAAGGTTTTAAAATAATAGATGTTTGAAAGGTAATTTTGATCTTTTTCTTAATATACAAGTGTCCACATCAGAAGTCCTAATCAAGCAAAAACCTAATTGAAAATCTCTGAATACTGAAAGTATTCAGTAAATACTGAAAGTACATAGAGAATGAGATTCTCTCTCAGCCCTAAAAATAGACTGGCCAAATCATGGTTAAGGTATAATGGAGGATACTGCTTTATGCTGCATGCTGTGCATGTAAAACACTGTCCAGCACTTAGGAAGGTTCATTTAACAGAGATCCAGACCTTGGTTGTCTAGTATAGTAAGTCAAACTGCAGGCAAAATAACCAATGTTAGGACTCAGAGTCATTGTGTTCGCTGAATGCAACCATTGGTAAAGTCAGAGCTTAGTGGCCTTTGAGTTTCATTGGAAAAATCCTTGTGAAAATTATCAGCATTTACTATTTAAATCCTTTCATTAGGTTGATGAGGTTTTGCTTTATGCTCTGTAGCACATCATGTTTACAGCAGTAAAAGCTGCAGGGAACCATGCTGCTTCTGCCTGAATCCTGCGATGTCTTGGCGAAATAAGACAACAGTCTGTGTGTTTTGTGTAGCTAGTCATTTCTAATAGACCCATCGCCTTAGTACACCAACACAGGGATGACATCATGCTCTTTAGAATCTATTTTCCATCTGGCTTATTCCTGAGCTGAAACAAAAATCTAGTAAAAATGAGACAGGAACATGATTGGTTCCATATTTCTGTTACCAAGATCAATATATCTCTCTTTTGCTCTGTTCTGTTAGCCATTATTTGAAATGTAGTATCCAAAACTCCATTGTTAATATTGCAGTAATAGCAACAAGAGCATATAGAAAATCCTCACCAACACTGTAGCATTCAAGGAAAAATGAAAATGAGTAAGGGGGAACTTAATGAGTTTCAAGTTCAAGTAAGATAAGCAAACAAACATATAGACCAGTTCTATATTTCTGAATCCCCACACAGGCATCCTGCTCCAACCGATTTTCCCTTCAAACTACTCGATATCAATCTACTTGATCTTGTCTTTTTTGGTATAAAGTCCAAAGGCCCTCCAATCCCATTTGGTGTGTTCAGTAATTAAAGTAGATTTGTTTTGTGCATGCTCTACTACACTGTCAGGAACAGGGATCCTGGTTTTCTCTGATTAAAAAAAAAATCCCCAATTTTTGGTTAAGAAAAAGTAACCCCAAATCCACATTTTTCCATGATTAAAATGAAATACCACTATCTATATCTATATCTAATATGCATATATTAGAGGTGTTTCATTTAATTCACGGAAGCATTTCTTCTTCATATCCATTAGCACTCTTCCTTCTTTCCCTCACTGACAGATCCACATGGGCTTTTCCTTTTCAATACCCTTGCCAGTCAATTATCTAGAACATTTTTATTTGAATGGGTAGAAGTCATCATACTGATGCCAGGAAGGACTAGATGGTAGGCTTCCTCAGTAGCTTCTTTTAGAATAAGGCAGCATTCAGAGTATCTCAAAACAAGATAAGAAAATGCCTCTCTGGAGATAACAAGGGAGAGTGGCTGGGAACTGCCACCAGTATCTTAGAGGCCTCCTTAGGTAAATGATATCACTGGTGGGTGGATGTGGAATGTGGTTGAGCATGCTAGGGAGGAGACTTGGAGAGTAGGAGGTAGGTTAGTTCTAGACTGAAAATAGACCCAGCAGCCTGACCTTGATACCTGGAAAGATTGTGGAACAGGTCCTCAAGAAATCTATTGTGAAGCATCTAGAGGAGAACAAGGTGATCAGGAACAGCCAGCATAGATTTAGCAGGCGCAAATCCTGCCTGACCAACCTGATTTCCTTCTATAATAAGGTGACAGGCTATGTGAATGGGGGGAGATCAGTGGATGACTTTAGCAAGACTTTTGACACCGTTTCCTCACAACATTCTCATTAATGAAAAAAATATGGATTAGACAAAAGTACTGTAAGGTGGATATATAACTGGTTGGATCATTGTGTTCAATGAGTAATCATCAATGGCTCAATGTCTAGGTTTAAGGAAGTATTAAGTGGGTTCCTCAGGGCTCTGCCCTGCATCAGGTATTGTTTAACTTCTTCATTAATGATTGAGTGCATTTTTAGCAAATATGTGGATGACACCAAGTTGGGTGGAGTTGCAGACACAATGAAGGACAGGGTGAGGATCCAGAATAAGCTGGATAGACTGGAGAAATGATCCTCAATCAATCAGATGAGATTCAACAAGGACAAGTGTAAAGTCTTGAATTTGAGACAGTATAATTGCATGCATAAATACAGCCTAGGGAATGACTGGCTAGGCTGCAATACTGCAGAGAAGGACCCAAGGGTTACAGTAGACCATAAGCTGAATATAAGCCAACAGTGTGCTGTTGTTGCAAAAAAGGCCAGCAGTGTACTTTGTTGTGTTAATAGGAGTGTCACTTGCAAATCAATGGAAGTGATTCTTCCACTCTGTTCAGCATTGGTGAGGCCTCACTTGGAATTTTGCATCAAGTTTTTGACCCTACACTGCAAGACAGATATGGACAGATTGGAGAGAGCATCAAAAATGAGTAGGGGCCTGGGAAACAAAACTTTCATAGATTCGTAGCTTCATAGATTGTGAGGCTGGAAGGGACCTTGGAAGATCATCGAGTCCAGCCCCCCTGCATCAAGCAGGAAAGACAACTGGGGTCAGGTGACCCCAGCAAGGTAACCGTCCAGTCTCCTCTTGAGGATTTCCAGGGTAGGTGATTGCACCACCTCTGGAGGGAGCTTATTTCACAGGCTGAACACCCTCGCTATGAAGAAGCTTTTCCTAATGTTGATCCTGAAACAGTCTTCTAGGAGTTTGTGACCTTTACTCCTGGTTTTCCCCAAGGGTGCCCTGGTGAACGGTTGTTCACTGAGCCCTTAATGTACGCCCCTGAGGTAGCGTTAAGCTGCTACCACATCCCCTCTCAGCCTTCTCTTTTTCAGGCTGAAGAGTCCCAGGTCCCTCAGCCTTTCCTCATATGGCTTGCCATGCAAGTCTCTGATCACTTATGAGGAAAGACTGAAAGAAATAGGGTTACTTCGCCTGAAAAAGAGAAGACAGGGTAGATTTGATAACAGCCTTCAAATACTTAAAGGAAGATTATAGAGGGGAAGGAGATAAGCTTTTCTTTGTAGCCATAAAAGACTAAGAGCAATGGCCTCAAGCTGTAGCACAGGAAATTTAACTTGGAATGTAAGAGGAACTGTCTGATGGTGAGGGTGGTCAAGCATTGGAACATGATAGAGAAATTATGGAATTTCCATCCTTGGAAATTTTCAAGAGCAAATTGGATAGACATTTGGCTGGGTTAGTCCAGTCAGGGATGATCCTGCTTTGAGCAAAGGGCTGGACTAGATGACTCATGAGGTCCCTTTCAGCCTTACTTTCTTATGATCTTAAGGCACTAATTGCCAGCCTTATGATCAGTTTAATTAAAAACATCAAAGATTCATTGGTGGTAGACACTGAACAACTGACTCACAAAGTAGAGGTGTTTCTTTGAGATCACTGAGTCAGTGACATGAAAAAAGTGCTGCTGTTATTGCCAAGACTTTACTTGCTGTAAGGATACAGAAGGCTCAAAACCATAGGGTTGTCAGTCTGCCACAGAAGATTTAAATTCATGCCATTCTTTAATAAAATAATGCCCCCGTTCTCAAAGCCCCATCAATCTACAAAGTGTTTTTTGACATTAATCTCATTGTTGCCTTTTAGGACAACTGAACAAGTCTCTGTTTTTGCTACGGTTCCAAATAACCAATCTGGCACCAACTACCTTGATGACACAAAAAAAGGATCCAGGTAACATAGCCAGTATGTTTAAAATGAAATTAGTGGCTTAAATGCTCTCTTGTACCAAGCTCAGGCAAATAGACTTTGTGCTAAAAAATTCTGCGAAGTTTGTAATCCTCTCACCATCCTCTGAAATGGCAGGGTAGTCAATGTATAAACTTGCCTTTGCATTCTGGTGCATCCACATTTCTTTTTGTGTTCCCATGGAGGCCCAAAGATAAACAGCTCCAAGGTACACAGTGGAAAGGGGTACCTTGTATCACCTCTTATCTGACACAGTGAAACTGTAAACGGTTCTTCTTGCCTTTCCGGCCACATGCAGAGTGAAGCATTTAGATTCTTTTAAAGCCTTTCTCTTACAGAGCTAGTGCGTCTTCTTTTATCTAGAATCTGTAACTACAGCTACTTGTTTTGTAAATCTGATGAAAAGTATTAGAGACTGGACAAGTGGGGAATGCAGCAAAACTCCATTAATTGAAGGTTAGAAAGAAATCAGGTAAAGCAAAGAAATAACATGGTCTTCTGCACCCAGTCATAAAAGGATGCTCAGCTGATTTGACAGCAAATATGCAGTGTAGCATTCTGCCTGAGAGAAAGAACATTCTGGATGAGGAAAATGAAAATCCTAGTGCTGTGATATTTCCATTAAAATGGCAATAACAAATCTTATCCTCATGGTTATTGAGCAATGTCTCCTCTAGAGCAAACAGCACATTTGTGTACGGCTCTGCCATCAACACAGAACTAGTCTGGCCTTTGAGACCATCTTGTGTATGAGGTTTAGTTGCATTCTCCCAGGAGGAGTATAGGATGTATTTGTGTACAGTTTCCACTCCATCCTTTTCTTATTATATATATGTAGGGATTACCTTTGAGTAGTGCAGCGGATAAAAATACCACAGGCCGGCTATGGGCCTGTCTACACATACAGACTTTCTATACCATGCAGCAGTGCCTTTGAATATGCTATGCTGTTCTGTACAGGCTATATCCTAAACCATAAGCAGAGTATCTGTGTTCATGTGCTGCTGCAGGCAGAGAGATAACTGGATACTTGAGCACCCTGGGTGCAAGTGGCTGAGCTGCTGGTTGTGTGGCATTGGTTGGACCAGCAGCACAGCTACTGCTGTTTTTGCACCGCTCCCAGGATCAGCACTGGGGCTGGTGCCCTGGTTGTCCCCCCTTTGTTACACTACTGGCTGCGGGTAGACTAACTAGCACTGTTGAATGGCAGTGCTTCAGTGCTGAGTCGCAATGTGTGTTTGAGGTGCAGTGGTGCAGTTGTATCCGTCTTTGATTCCTGATCTACCCAAAGTTTAAAACCATTGTTTGACAGTGGCAGCAGCATTTCTATTCAGACAGCAGTGAGGGAGTTGCTTGGTTTTGTGGCTCATTACAAACTATCTGGTTCCTTCTAAACTCTCAATTCCACAGGTTTTAACAATCCTCACTTCTTTTTTAATGGTGTTGATGTTCCACTAATTACGCTATCCTTTCCTCTGCCATTCTGTTGTCTGTTAGCTGCTCTTCTTAATGTAGCTCCTATTTCGCAGCCCTGTAGACTATTTTAATCTTTAGCTGTAAACATTAACTCAGTTGTGGAAACATTAACTCGTGTGAACATCAAAGGTGTGGAAACAATGTTCAGTGAAGCATTGGATGCACTTTCAAGATGCTCAAGAAAGCTAGATTTTATTTTATGAATTGGAAAGGGATATAAATTTAATTCTAATGACTACAGGACTAAAGAAACTTCTTTTGATTATTTTTCCTCAGTCTGTTGTGTGTTTTTTATACAATTTCAATAATGTTACAGTATTTTTTTCCTCTTCAAATAAAAATGTAGCCCTAGGCAGGCACCTTTTAAAGATGTTTATACATGTTTGTATCTCAGCTGTAATATGTGTTATATGTGATGCATCACACCATCTGCACCAGCCTTTTCAAAATCCTAGATCCACCCATGTCTAGCACTGTAAATCTGTAGTAAAGACAGGCTCAAAGAGTGTGCTATAGTACATAGTATTCCATGTACTTGACTATGTATGTACCTTTATTAGCAGTATGAATAGAAAACCAAAATTAATTCTTGAAAGATTCAAATGAAGTGAAGTGTCATCCTCACTATTTATTCTATTCACTTTTACAGAATAGGTTCTTCAGCAGAGTTCTAAGCTTTGTGGTATAGGTTCTACAGGACCAAGATGCAACATGGCAAGTTAAGGAGAGAGTGGTAGGGATTGCATGTGAAAAAAATCAGTTGGAATATGGATTTTCCAGGAGAAAGTTGGATTGGGTTATATCCCAATGGCATTAGCACAGTTACAGGTAACCTTTGGATGTTTACATAGGTGTGCACTATGCTGGGACCCTGGATCCCATGGAGCTTTGTGTGGCTAGGACTGGTAATTGAGAATTAGGAAATATTTTTGCTATTTGTTTATGGCCTCATGGCATTGTTCTGTATAGTACATATCTTTTTTAAAGATGGTTATACATGTTTGTGTGTATTTCAGCTGTAATACTTCAACTACTTATTCAAGTCCAAAGAACACTGTTGTGTACACAAGGACATATGAGAAGAATAGGTACTGGAAAGATACCTCAAGTATTTTTCTCTACAGTATTTGTGTAATAATTCTGAAAATACATGTTTAAGCATAACCAATGTCATATTCAGGCATAGTGCATCCCTTATTAAAAGTATGTTGTGTGCTAGGTGAAAAATTTGCAACATAACTGCAATACTATAGGTGAGGTAGGTGGAGAGCAGATCAGAGAGGAACATCTGAAACAGCAGAGAAAAGTTCAGAGAGCCCAGGTATAACTCAAACAGGAAATTCTCACTACATGAATTTTAAATCAGTCATTCTGATCTGTCATCTGTGATCGAAGTAGGGCCATAGCAATTTAAATTCATACCTAGTTTTTGCTGTTTTGATGCATAAAAGGTCATAGATTTCCCAACAGAAGAAACCCTCCAGGGGCACTTCCCCTGTACTCAGCACACCCTGAAAAATAGATGGCACTGTATAGGGAAGCGCTGTGGTCAGTGCTTGTCATGTGGAGTTCATTGTGAAAGCCTCTACTAGCTGAGCTCCTCTAGTGCTCCCAGTGCAACCTACTGGTGCTCTGCCACAGGGGAACTCCTAGGAGAGTCACTGGGCAGAATTCTCCTTTGCTGCTAAGATGTGAGAGTGAGACACATGCCTTTTTAGGTGTTTAAGTTGCAGAACAACCTTCTACTACATCTTCCAGCATGGCTCAAAGCACACTAAAGACATCAACATTTCTTGCACAGCTACATTTTTGCCCTACATAAGTAAATTTGTCCTACTGCACATGCTCAGAAGTGAGTCAACATTCCCTCAGAGGCATCTAACTCCATTCATATGTACTCTGTTGCAATTCAGCTTCACCATGGATTCACATAAATGCTGCAAAACCCCCAGATTTTGTAGATGACCCAAATCCCACAACTAGCAACTGTTTCACACTGAATGGCAAACAGGGTTGTGGGGAAGGAGGGGGAGAAGAGGGGAACAGGGGCACGCTAACATTTTACTCAGTGGCTAAAGCACCTGCCACAGACATGGAAAATCTGAGGTACTAGGTCTATTTGCCCTGAGGAGATTTGAACCCTAATCTTCCATATTATATGGTAGCATGCTAATTACCAGGTCAAACTAAGAGCATATGCCTATTGAATTTAGGTCACCAGACAGCCAAGAGATGGGAAGGGAGCAAACAAGAGAAAGCATGACTCTGTGGCTCAGGTAGCTGGACAGGCAGGTCATGTCTCGTTTCCAGTCCCTGCTCTAGGGGATTTATTTTTGTTTCTTTTAATACCAAGTGGAACCTCCAGCATGCCCTGTAGCCCCAGTGGAGTGAGCATGCTAATGATTAGTGATGCTAATGATTAGTGATGCATTTGTTCTCAAATCACCCTGTGCACTGCAGGCCAGAATCCTTTCTCCCTTGCACTGACACAACTCAGCTGGGCCAGATCCTGCCCCTGTCACTAAAGTGTAATCCAGACTAGTACCAAGATTTACCATGGCATGGTTCCCTTTTCTTCTGATCCTATGACTTTTTCTCTCTTGGCTGCCTAGGGGACCAGCTTCCCTTGGTAGAAGGAACACTCAGCCATGTCAGACTCTGAGAAGTCAAACCCTTGAGGCTAAGGAGAGCTCTTAGAACACAGGTCTCCTATGTCCTGGGTGTATGTCCTCACAACAGGCTATTTGAGGAAGATCTTTATATTATTTTGGGGGGAGAGACAGTTGTATATAGAGGTAACTATCTGCTCAGAAACCCTGCTAAGATGGATTTGCTTTATGCAGTCAGGAGGAGGTGGAATTTCAACTAGAGAGATGCATCTTACCCAAGTTGTGTGCTTTTGTAGAATGCTGTAGAATGCATCTCTGGGGCCATATGACCTGTGTACTAGCTCCTTATTGAAAGTACAGGAGAACTATGGGCCAGATCCTATTATACTTGTTAGGTGCCTAAGTAAGATTCTATTCCACCCCTGGCTGAGTCTCTAAAAAAATATTAATAGAAAAGTTGGGTGGTTCCTCCTCCTCTCTCCTTTTTGAGACTTACTGTTCAGGCTAAGGTATTGGTGCTTTACAAAAGTAGGTATTTTAATGTCTTTCAGGGACTTGAACAAGATGAAATATGATAAGTGCCTAACATGTGGAATAGGATCTGATGCCTAGTGTGCAAAATAGAATTTAGTCCATTTTGTCAGTGTAGAGACAATTGGAAAATCTGTCCTAGCTAGGTACTGAAACAGGATCTTCCTAATTAAGTGAATTAATATCACAACTAGTCATCCTTCTGCCCTTATTTCTGCTGAAATAAGGTATCTAGCACCAATAAACTCTTGAGTTATTCATACCTAAATTACAAACCAGCAGTAGAAACCATAGAACAATTATCTTTTATTAATATGAATGTAATACTGGTGAATTAAAGTAAATATGTCACTTCGTGAAAGCTCAAAA